AGCAAAAATTGAAGTGGTTTGAATGGCTTTACTGCAGAGCAATTACTATACGCAATTAAATAAAATGTCACTGTCATTTGATGCTGGATGTGGTGAATGAGCTGCCAGTGATCAAAATATTGAATATGAAGTCATTGAAAACGATAGTTTTGAGAATATGGTTGAGATTGTGAATATGAGCCAGATGCTGAATGTACTGTGGAAGTGCGCTCTGACGATGACAGCGATGGTAAAATCATCTGCTCAATTTGAACCCTTTTAAGTTTCAAAAGGTAACGAAATATGCTTTATTTTATTCTTCTGTTTTTTTGCTATTGCAGCAGTTAAAGATCCATCCGTGCTGTATATATAGGTCCGGGTCGCTAAAGACCAGAATATGTAATAATGATTGGCGAAACATGCATGCATTTAAGAGTTAATGGAGGTTTAAATAAAAATGCACATGCAATTAAAATATGTAACTGATCGAACAAAAACTGTGGCGATCTGACAAAAAAAGGTATCAGAGAGGTGTTTATTACAAATTAAAATGAAAATGAAAGCACATCGAGTTGGCAGAGTGCGAGGGTCGTGGTGGGATGCGGATCCGTCACTCATAGTGCACCTCGGTGTCGGACAAACAAAAGAAGTGAGGAATATTTAACAGCAGCGGTCACAGTGATGATGAGGCGAGCACCAGTGAAGTGATCGTGGCCGCGGGTGTGTCTGCTGGGCGGCGATCAAACGGACAGGGCAGCGCTTTTCACGAGTGGAGATCGCTACTAGACGAATTATGTAATTTGTTATCTATTTATTTTTATCTCTGTTCTTTTGTCGTAAGTTATGCTATTGCTCCATTCATTTATACTAGCCTATATCCAGCGCTCCCTGAACGCAGTCTCTGGCTTATTACCAGCAAGTGCAAGCACGCTGCAGGGATGTGTCTATAACGACTTTGATCTGATCATAAAGTCTTTCCGAGTCACAGGGCTCAAGTCCAAGTCAAGTCTCGAGTCATTGCTGTCAAAGTCTAAGTCGAGTCTCAAGTCTTCTTTAATTATTTCGAGTCGAGTCGCAAGTCATCAAATTTGGGACTCGAGTCCGAGTCAAGTCTCGAGTCAAGTGACTCGAGTCCACACCC